TTTACTAGTCGTCTGGGCTGGACTCGCATTCTATGCATCGTATCAGGGCTATAAACTCTTTATTAAATTAGCGAGTGGTGATGAGGTGACCATCTGCGCTACTGCTGCTGTAGATTTGAAAGGTTGGTGTAGGTAGCAAGTTCTCGAGAGGCAACAGCATCGCCCTGCGAAATGGAACCGGAAAATGAATCCGTCACATATGGGAAAGTAGGATTATTCACATAGTTTACTACATGTGTTGGTGAGAAAATGAAAATTTTGGGGAATTTTCGGTAATTTTCATTGGTTTCTGTACACTTCTACTCGAATTTATGTGTAAACATGTATAATGGAGTTTCACCCTAGTGATATGAAAAATATATTTTGCGATTACTACTGCATTACTACTGCGCGTTTTTCACAGAGTATTACGCCATTTCACGTAAAACGGGTTGTGAAACTCCATTTTTGTACTAACATACTTATGCAATCGATATAGGATAATCCTAATAACCGGTATCAATATGTTGTTGATATAATTCAATATAGTGGGAGTTTTACAACAACCCGTTTTACGTGAAGTGGCGTAAAACTCGGTGAAAAACGCGATATTCGCGGTGATATGCAGTAGTCGTGAAATATGTTTTTCACTAGTGTTTTTTTTTCATATCACTAGAGTGAAACTCCAATATGATATAAGATCAGTATTAGATATTACAACAACCTTCATTGATATTTAATGGATAATTTAATATATTGAATAATATTAAATATAATTAATGATTCCGGCCGACTCTATACATATACCATCTATGTGAATTCGCTTCAGAGCATATACCTGGGCTTAGCCGCTCATTTCGGAGCTGCTGAGTTCGCGGCCATACTCCTATACTGGCTATCCGCCTAGTGAAAAGGAGTGCTGCTCAGGAAAAAATATTAATAATCTAATTTGTATTGGAGTTTCATCCGTGATGTGAAAAACACTAGTGAAAAACACATTTTACATTTCACTTCGCGAAAAACGCATGTGAGCAGTGAATTTCGCGTAAAACACGTGAGGTGTTTTTCATGTGATATGCAAAACGCGAAATTATTTCGCGTTTTACGCGTTTTGCGCGAAATATGCATATTTGCGGTCATTATGCCTACAGTCTCAAACCTTGCACCGGCTATAAATCAGCACTTCAAATATCCTAGGGAAACCTGTTTCTAATTTGCCACCCCTATCCCAGTTAGTTGATGGTACAGAAAATCAAAATTTATCAAAATACGACAGGCGCATACCACCCTGGAAGGCAACCCGTTTTGCCTCATCATATGTGAGCGACAGCGGGTGTACAAATATCGAACCGCTTCAGAAATCCAAATGCGCGTTCGACGATACTACGCACCGAAGCGTGGTGGCGGTTGAACAGATCCTCCTCGGCACTTAGAACCCGACGTGCATACCGCTTATGCGGAGTTATGAGCCGCAGTGCACGATTCTGAGCGAATGCGTACCCAAGATCAACCAATAAACGTCTTCCGGCTGGCATACGCAGAGCCCTATTGCGGATAGTCTCCTTGTAGATATAGAGATCGTGACGAGTGCCGATCCATGGTAAGCTAATATGAACGATTCGTCCACGAATATCCACCACGGCTTGTACCTTGATACAGTGGGACTTGTACTTCGGGTTGTAATAGAAGCTCTGATCACGGGTTAGGAGTCGTTTTATTATAGGAAATACGTCGATGTGGCCAATGACATTCCTGAACGGACCGTCCGCACCAGTACTCTCCAATCCAGCAGTGCCTTGCGGGATGAATGGGTCGTGTAGAAGTCCAATAGGTATCCCCGCACCGACAAGGATATCCAATAGGTATCCCCGCACCGACAAGGATATCCAATAGGTATCCCCGCACCGACAAGGATATCCAATAGGTATCCCCGCACCGACAAGGATATCCGAATCGGGATATCCGATTACTAGGATGATTAGTTAAGTAGGTTATGCTGCTGAGCCGTTCATCGGGTTCCGAATCGGACCCCTCTCACAGAGGGGTCCGCAAGGCTGGTTGCTACTCGTGGCTGTTGACGGGATGATGATCATGATCATCCACGCGTTATTTCGCGAAAAATGAAGGTGAAGTGTAATACGTGTTTTTACTGGTCTCTTCACCCTAGTCGGTGCATGTCGCGATTTACTTCATGTGAATTTCGCGAAAACGCGTTTTTTCACGCGAAATCCACATCGGGAAGTGAAATTCATTTTATATTCCTTTTTTCACGTCTCCAAATCGCGTTTTTCTCGATACAAAATTTCGCGAAGCTCACAATCTCCCTTGTGAAATAAATGCTGTAAAACGCCGACTACTCGGAGTTCTTCGCGTTTATCGCGAAATGCCGGAAGCGTTTTACGTAAAATGTGGTGATTTGTCTGGTGTAATTCGCGAAGTGTTTTCAATTCACTTCACATCGCGAATATCACGTTTTTCACGTTCATTTCACGTATTACGCCACTTCGCGTTAAACGGGTGAAACTCCATTAAACAATTGATAAACAATAATAAACTTTATTGAATAACCTTCAATCGTTTGGAATCTGTTTTAGGCGGTCTCAGCGAGTATTACGCCCAAGGGCGAAGACGACATAGAAATGGGTGAATTTCAGCAATTCAACCGACGACATAGCTCATCAGTTTCGATTGACAATAAAGTCCTTTGAGCGGAGCGGAAATAAGTGTTTGGTCCCCTCAAGTGAACTCGCAAGTACGCACGATTTTGGGTAAAAGTGTACAAAAAACCAACGAGAATTTCCTAAAAATTCGTCGAAATTTTCATATTCATAGTTGATTATGTGCATATATTCCCACAGTAGCTTTGAGTTTGACGGGTGAGACAAAGTGAGGTGACTCTCATTCGCTGGAGTTTCATCCGTTTAACGTGAAGTGGCGTAATGCTCTGTGTAAATCGTAACACGTATATGTTGCCATTTTCTATTGTTTTTCATGTCAGGGGTGAAACTCTACAGAGTGACCTAGTTAACATCGTAAGTCGAATGAAATGAGTATTAATCTTTAATAGAAGGTTTCCTTATCGAGTTCGAGAAGCTTCGGAACATATTCTGTATTAATAGTGGGCATTCCTTTCAGGTTTCCCATTGATCAAGCAATGTGCATACCAGTTCCTATCAAATCGTGGACAGTTGTGAAGACTGAGATACTCCTGTGTTGAATATCATTTCTAAATAGCATTATTTTTGCGTGGTCAGTTTTCTGGATATGGGAAGCAGGTGAAGCTATGCGTACCAGTGAGCTAACGCAGTGAATCGAGCAAGGAAATGAAGAGAATAACTCCACTGAAATTGTTCGTGTTAAAAAACTGGAAGTAGTGGAGATTTACGATGCGGAAATTTTCGGCTAGGGCAGCACATGTGGTGGAAGAATCACAGGATATACATTTCTGAGGAGTGGACGTCCATTGGTGAAGGTGGTCCCATAGTCAGAATGGCATCGGTAATTGCCAAGCATTGATTGAAGGGAAACTTGCCCGAAGGACCGAGGGCGAATTCCGCACAGGGAAGAGAAAATAGGGTAAGATACGATCAGATTCTCACATGGTATCTTTACTCACCCGCAAAGATTCGGAATACTCTCGCTCGCCCATCTTAGATGCGGTACATGACCATAAGTTGATTAGGTTCACAGTGAATGCTGATACGGTTAATGATGGACAAAATGCTTTCCGAAAATATGTATGTATTTCACATTATGTGATAGTCTCAGGTAAGCATCTGTGTTTTCTCGGTCCCGATGACTCTCCATCTCTCCTTCATTGGCTGCTTGCTCTTCGCGGTCCCCGGTGCGGCTAAACTAAGACGCCTTCAAGTCTCTACCACTGACGCTCCCACCTACAGTCCTGAAGCTCGACAGCGTTGTGATCTTTACTGTCAAAGTAAGGTTGCTCTTTGGAGACTCACTGCTTTCTGATGTTCCTCGTCCGTTAGTTCAGAACGGGTCGCCGAGCTATTGCAAGTATTGGTTATCTCCTCCAGTCTGCCAGGCGGGGGATCAGCCTTGCTCGCCTGACGTGTGTGATGGTAGGACCATTGCTGCATTCTAGTGTCCTGAATGTTTCTCTCAGTTCCACCTGAAGCTACTGTACCGTCCTTGTCCACACCACCGTCGACTGACTCGGAAACCTGCGATCGTTATTGTCAAAGTTTGAATGGCCCTGCGAGTTACTGTAAATGGTGGCAGTCGCCTGCTGTTTGTCAATTCGGTGACCAGTTCTGTGGTGATGTAACTACGTGCGATCCGACCGCTCCAACTACATCATCGACGTCCTCGATCACTTCTTCGACCGGCTTCACGACAAGCACTCCGATCGTTCCTACTACCACGCCTGTGGCTCCTACTACAACACCTGTGGCTCCTACTGCAACACCGATTGTTCCTACTACCACGCCTGTGGCTCCTACTACCACACCTGTGGCTCCTACTACCACACCTGTGGCT